CTACACATTAAAAGTGTTATTCCACTGAAAATGACTCCTATGCAAACATCGACATGGGATGTGTGTCCAAATGCCACAGAATATTTTGAGAAAAAAATCCTCTGCAAATAAAATTAAGGTAAAAGCTGAGTCAGGGATGATCCAATTTCCACCCCAGGAATGACCTGGAGCTGCACCAGCTCAGCGAGGTTGGAGCTGAAACCCTGAGTTAATGATCAAAAGGGACAAGACGAGAAGGCCTGGGGACTGTGGATGGGGAAGCACGCAGCCCTGAGTGCCAGTGGGCAGAACAGGGTCAGGCTCGGGGAAGCAGGAGGGGTGGTGTGCGGTAGGCGCTGAGCAGAGCAGGCCTGGCAGAGGCTGGGGGCCGCTGTGCACTGAGGCCAGAGGAGCAGGGTGGTGGGGGCAGCTTTGGAAAGGGACTAAAAAGGGCCTGAGAAGAGACCACTCAGGAAAGGTACATGTGCGAGGCCACGATCAAAGCAAAAAAATCAAGTTTCCTATGTTCATGATAGCATTTGGCTGACAATGAGTTACAAATACTTGGATTCTATCTTCCTGATAAAAACACCTTCCAGGAAAGGGCACTTGCAACAGGCTTGCCCAGTTCCCAGTGGGGAGGGTGGATGAAGCTGGTGTTTCCACTTCACCACTGGAGGACGGTTCTATATGGGAGTTCCTATGTGGGCGTTCCTATGTGGCATTGGTGTCCTGGGCCCTGTGAGCTCTGCAGGGATCCAGGGAAGGAAACTGGGGGTGCACACTTGCAGGCACTCCAGGACAGAATGCAGAGGGGGCATGAGACAGTCATCCTGGCACAGCCCTCAGGAGGGAACTGGAGGGACAATTCTGTGCCCTGCCACGGGCTTCCTAGAAGCAGGGCGGGGAGGGCGGCCCTGGCGCTAGGCCTGGTTCTCCAGCTGCGCCACGGCCTGCTTCAGGTCCTGCACGACGAGGTCCACTTCGGCCCTGGTGGTGCTGCGGCCCACGCTGAGGCGGAGCGCGTTCCTGGCCACGTCGAAGGGGATGCCGTAGTTCAGCAGCACTGGGGACGGCCTGGGGAGGGCGAGACCGGGTGGCAGCTGCTGCCAAGGGCACATGGAAGAGACACAGCATTCCCCGCTCTGGACTACTCCCCCAGTGGGGCTCTACCCACCCGGGTGCGCGCCTGCCCTGCCTGGTATCCGCCTCCTGCTGAACTCCTGGACCAAGCACACCTGTAAGACTACCTATATCAAGGTGCGGCTCAAAGTCGCCACCATTCTCCCTGTAGAGTTCTCTTGCACTTGGCACTCCCAGGTGACACTGTCCCCCTCTCGCACTGAGCTCTGGGGCCAGGGGCTCTCCTGTCCTTGAGGGGTCTGAGGTCCTGGAGAACACTGATGCTGACACAGACAGTACCTCACCCATGCGGCCCATCTAAGCCACTTGGTAACTTCACGGCACCTGGCATGGGGCTTTGCAGACACTAGGGATCCAGCCAGTATCTAGCCATGGAACAGATGACTGCGTGTGGGTGTCCGGAAGCAGGGCTGCTGGAGGCTCGAGGTGTGGGCTCTGCCAAGGGGCTTGCCCTCATCACACCCAGACCCCTTTCTTCCCCTGCCCTCTCCTGCCCCTCCTGTAGCAGGGCACTGCCCCCCACCCCTCCAGGGCCCTGTCCTGCCCCTCCTTTGCCCTGGAGCCGGGCCCACCACTGTCTCGCTCCAAGTGCTCCTACACAATCCCTCCGCCCTGACCCTGATGACCACGTGCTGCTGGCCACAGTTCTCTCTCCCCAGAACCCTGGGTGTTTCTCCTACATTCACTCCGACCTCCCACAGGGGTCTCACATTTTCAGCAGGCCAGACCCGGAAGCGCTTCTTCCCTGCTGCCAGCAGGCTGCTGCTCGGTTGCCCCACGCCCTCTACCCCACAGTCTCCGCCAGGCAGGCCACCTGCTCACCTGGACCCGCTATCCCAGAATCTCTGCTGCATCTTGCAGATGGCTGATCTGACACCTGAGTCTGCTCATGCCATGGCCCTCAGGGCTCCCCCTTCCATGAGATTTAAGTGAGCACTGACACTCAGGCCATCCCCTCCCCAGCCCACCCCAGTCCTCCCCAGCCCCAGCCACGCTGCCCCTCCAGGCCCTGCTCCCCCTGCCTTCAGAACTGAGCACGAGAAGCCCTCTTCCCCCGCGCAAGTCCTAGTCCTTCGGACGGCAGCTTAGAAGTCACTTCTTCCAGGAAGCCCCCCCTCTGCCCTCCTAGGACCCAGACAGGGCCACCCTTCGCGAGCCAGAGCGCGGCCCAGTGGCCGCCTGCCCAGCACACCCAGTGCCCGGAGGACCCCTATGCCCTGGACTGGGTTTGTGAAGAGCACTTACTGGTCCCCATGGTCCGAGTGGCACGCGGCCCCCACACTGGCCAGCAGCACTCGGCACTGCGCAAGCACCTCGTGGCCTGTGGAGACAGAGTACGCGCCACTGAGATGGGGCTCCAGCCAGGCCGCCCTTCTCTCCCCTCCCAGGGTCCTGCTGGCGCAGGCTGCTTCCCTCCCTCCGTGCCACCTGGTGGAATTCCAGCAGCGGCCATTCTGGCAGCTGGGGAGAGAGCTCACAGCAGGAGCCGAAGAAGATGCTTCTTTCTCCTTGGGCTGCAGAAACGCGGACACTATTCTCCCTCACAAAGCTGGCCTTGAAAATGGCACTCGATTCTAATCAACTGCCTGCGAGGACACCTGGAGTCCTGACCCGCTCCGTCCGTACGAGCTGGCAGTCCCGACAATGTCACGTCTCCACCTGTGTTCTGGATTGCAGAGACACGCGGGAGTTCTATGAAGCCAGAGGGCACTTCCCTCTTCTTTCACAAGCACGGCTGATGGAATCAACATGAGAATTTCAGCCAGGCGCAGCGGTTTCCACCTGTAATCCCTGCACTTTGGGAGGCAGAGGCAGAAGGACTGCTTGAGCCAGGAGTTTGAGACCAGCCTGGGCAACACGGGGAAACCCCATCTCTACAAAATGTTTTTTAAAAATTAGCCATGGCTGGGCAAAGTGGCTTACCCCTGTGATCCCAGCACTTTGCAGGGCCAAGGCAGGTGGATCACTTGAGGTCAGGAGTTCGAGACCAGCCCGGCCAACATGGCAAAACCCCATCTCTACTAAAAATACAAAAATGAGCCGGGCGTGGTGGCAGGCACCTGTAATCCCAGCTACTCTGGAGGCTGAGGCAGCAGAATTGCTTGAACCCAGGAGGCGGAGGTTGCAGTGAGCCGAGATCGTGTCATTGCACTCCAGCCTGGTCAACAAGAGTGAAACTCCGTCTCAAAAAAAAAAAATGTTAGCCAGGTGTGGTGGTGCATGCCTGTAGTCCCAGTTACTAGGGAGGCTGATCACTTGAACCCAGGAGGTCAAGGCTACAGTGGGCTGTGATTACACCACAGCACTCCAGCCTGGGTGACGACAGAGTGAGACCCTGAATCCAAAAATAAATATACAATATGAGAATCTCTGTCTCATTTAAAGTAATATAGGTTGTCACTGAATACAAAGTCTGACCCCAGAACAAGGGGAATGTTGACAGAGAACTCTCCTTTCCATGGTGAGGAATCTGAGATGGTCAAGGAAACCCAGGCTTCCTTGCCCACAAGAACGCATTTCAGCCCAGGTTCTCACGAACGCAGCCATCATGACGGTTACCCACAGGCTCTTCTTCATGGGCCAAACACGACTGCTGGGTTTCTCCGCATGATCCAGGAAGAAGAAAGAAGCAACACCTTCATCCTCTAAGAAGTCAACACCTCGTCTACAGAGGCAGCTCATCGTGATCTCAGGGCCACCATAACCTGCTCCCAAATGACACATGGCTGGTCAATGACCTGGACTTCCACTCTCATGGAGTCAGGGCAGACCAGGTTTCAGGTGCATCTGGGACAGGGGTGACCCTAACTGCTCATAGCTGAGGCAGATGCCGCAGGAAATCCAGATTTGTACTTGCTCCTTACTCTGCCAGTTATTTTTATTGTTTTTTTGTTTGTTTGAGACAGACAGAGTCTCACAAACTCTGTCACCCAAGCTGGAGTGCAGTGGCTCAATCTTGGCTCACTGTAACCTCCAGGTTCAAGCAATTCTGCCTCAGCCTCCCGAGTAGCTGGGACTACAGGTGCACACCACTATGGCCGGCTAATTTTTTGTAGTTTTTGGTAGAGATGGGGTTTCTCCATGTTGGCCAGGCTGGTCTCAATCTCTTGACCTTGTGATCAGCCTGCCTCGGCCTCCGAAAGTGCTAGGATTACAGGCCTGAGCCACTGTGCCCAGCCTCTGCCAGTTTTTAAAACTGATCGCCTCCCCTTTCCCTTACTCTAATAAAATATTTAATAAAAACTGCCAACAAAATAGATAAATGTCTAGAATTTAATGTTACTTCCTTCCCTGACAGCTTTTGGGGCGGTGCTAATGCCAGACATGAGAGTTCGCCACGGTCCACATCCCAGCAGCAGCAAAATGAGCCAAGTCAGGGAGAGGAGGGGCTGGCAGCAAGAGCCCGATGGACCACAGCACAGCCACCTGAGCCTGCTCTCAGCAATCCCAGCAAGGCCCTCTGACAGCCTGAGCTGTGTCATGCTCAGGGCAGGGAGAGTGGGAGTCGCTGGCTCGGACCAGAACCCATGCACCACGGGAGCTATGCTCACACTCGGAGAGACCAGGGTGAGGGGCCGTCACCTTGAAGCCGGGGTCCCCGGATGGAGAAGTTGCAGGTATTGGGAAGCCGCTGGGTCCCTGGAAACTGGCTATTCAGATGGATTCTCTTCTGACCGAATTCAGCCTGAAAAAAATAAGTGAAATATTTGGTGACCTTCAAAGACACCACCATCAGCAACTGTTTGAAATTTAGACTTTTCCAGAAACACAATCTCAGCAGGTGCATACTTTTCTTTTTTTTTTTTTTTTTTGAGACGGAGTCTCGCTCAGTCACCCAGGCTGGAGTGCAGTGGCGCGATCTCAGCTCACTGCAAGCTCTGCCTTCCGAGTTCACGCCAGTCTCCTGCCTCAGCCTCCCGAGTAGCTGGGACTACAGGCGCCCGCCGCCACGCTCGGCTAATTTTTTGCATTTTTAGTAGAGACGGGGTTTCACCGTGTTAGCCAGGATGGTCTTGATCTCCTGACCTCGTGATCCACCCGCCTCGGCCTCCCAAAGTGCTGGGATTACAGGCGTGAGCCACCATGCCCGGCCTGGTGCATACTTTTCAATCAGCATGTACCCAGAATAGTTATGAGGACAGACTATGGAAAGCAAAGTTAATTAGGAGAAAAACCAAATATTCAGAAACATATGAACCTTCCACATAAACCATGAAGTATACTACCTCTGCATATTTGATCATGTGTCTCTGAAAAAGATCATGCCCCTGGCCTAGGGCCCCACTTTCGGGGTTTCCGATCCCAATGTGCTTCCTGCCACTGTTCTTTCTTCCCTCACTGCATCCTGATGAGTTCCAGGCTACGCTGCAATCCCCACAGGTCCTGAGGTCTAGGAGCACCACGCCCCCTCTCCCTCCGGGCACCTGCCCCACACACCCTCCCTCTCCTGGTACCCACCCCACACTGCACTCACTTCCAGCCTCTCCTCCAGGTAGTCGCGGATGTCCCTCATGTGGGCCTCGTAAGCCTCGCAGTTCTGGGTCACCAGCTCCGCGGCCTGGGGGCAGACACACTAGTGGAAGCACAATTCTTGCAAAACAAAGGAGGGCAAAAAAGCTTTCAACAGCACAGGCAGCATTTCCTGAAACCGCTCATTCTCCTGACAGTCACAGACAGACCATATTTTTTGAGTGCTGCCATTTGGAGGGTGTAGAAGTGCCACAGAAATTGACTTCATCAGGCATTTCCTGACAGCGCCAGGCACTGGAGATGCCCCAGCAAAGCAGCCCTAAAGGGGATCCCAACCCTTGAGGAGCCAGCATCCAAGAGGCAGACGGACAAAAGCAGGGGCGGGGGAACAGACTCCTACCCACCAGTTGGCGCGGTGAAGGGACCTCGCAGGCCCGAGGTGGGGTGGTGGCAGATGGCTGCACAAGGGCAGGGAGTGGCGTCTCAGCAAGGGCTTTGCAGGGGACAGTCATTCTGTCTCTAGAACAGAGGGGCCTGGTGTGGTGGGTGGAGAGTGCAGAGGGGGTGAAGGCCCAGGGACAGATCCACAGGCCCTGCAGGCCTGGCCACGGGGCAGACGCAGTGAGGCTCTGAGGGAGGGATGCGATGGTCTGACTGGCCCGTGTGTTGGTCACTCTGTGGCTGTGTGGACAATGGCAGCAGCAGGCCCCCAGGAGGCCATGGCAGGCATCCAGACCCTTGGTCTAGGGTTAGTGGTCATGAAAATGGACATGAGGCTGGTAGTGGGTGTATTCTGGAGTCCAGACAGACAGGACGGGTGCTGTATGAGAGGCAGGGGACGATGACAAGGACGGACTGAGGGCATCTCCCGGACTTCAGAGGTGAGAACCTGGATAGCGGGAGGTACCCAGGGTGGGAAGAGGGTGGAGGAGAGCGGTCGGGACAGGCTTTGAACTGAGAGGAATGGGTCTCTCAGGAGATGGGCCAGGGCCTAGCTGAGATGTCAAGTTCAAAGGCAGGAGCACAGGCATCACAGTGACAGGACGGACACAGGGATCCACGAGGGTGCAGGTGCAGGTGCAGGGAAGGGCTGCCAGCACGCAACCAAGGCAGAAAGGAATGGGTGGGGGAAAGAATGTTGGGGAGGGCGTGTGCAGGATGGAGTCCAGGCTGGGCAGCAGGGGGGGCTGTCTAACACGCTGGTGGCATCAGGGTCTGGGCGAAGCTGAAGAACCAGCGGGGGTGTGGTGCTGGGGCTGAGACCAAGCTGTGGCACTTGTGCTGTTACAGGTGCAGATGCAGCCGCAGGAGCACGGAGAAGGTCAGGGGCTGGGGGGCTTCGAGCACTGTGAGCTGAGGCTCTATTGAGGAAGCTGTTACCATGATTCCCATCTGGCAGGGGGGATAGCCAGGACTCAGGGAGTTCCAGCGACCTGACCCAAGGCACAGGGTGAGTGAAACTTCAAGCCAGGATTTGAACCCTGGTATTTCAAAGCCTGTGGACCGCACCACTACTTCATCATTCAGTTCAATATGAGCAGGTACTAGACTCCACTTAAAACACACTCTTCCGGCCGGGCACGGTGGCTCACACCTGTAATCCCAGCACTTTGGGAGGCCAAGGCGGGTGGATCACCTGAGGTTAGGAGTTCGAGACCAGCTGGCCAACATGATGAAACCCTGTCTCTACTAAAAATACAAAAATTAGCCAGGCACGGTGGTGCATGCCTGTAGTTCCAGCTACTTGGAGGCTGAAGTGGGAGAATTTCTTGAACCTGGGAGGTGGAGGTTGCAGTGAGTCAAGATCACGCCACTGCACTCCAGCCTGGGTGACAGAGTGAGACTCCGTCTCAAACAAAAACACTCTTCCTTCTAGTAAATGTAGCCTTAGTTATCACTGTTAATGATTTTGGGTATTCTAAGTAACAGGGGATCCATTCATATTCTTCCCAAGGCCCGGCCTCCTGGGCGCCAAGCCGTTTCTCTGTACTGGGGATACTGAGGCCAAGCCCCTGCTCTCGTGGAGCTGACAAGCCCCTTCGAAGGGGAAGCAGGAGGTGGGGCATACATCTGAACACACTACAGAGAAACATCAGATAGGGGAAATAAAGCAATGTCAGGGATAGAGCGTGACAGCAGGGGACATGGGGGGACCAATGTAGCTGTGGTTCATGGAGGGGTGCTTGAAGGTGGTGGCCTTTAAGCAGAGGCCTGCACAGTGAGGGAGCAGCCTGCAGATGCCGAGGCGTGACCAGGACCCCTGCCCTTGCACAGCAAAACCTGAGCCTGGTTACTGTGGCAGAAGCATGACAGGCCCCCGTGGAGGGCTGGCGGCAGGTGCTGGATTGGCCACCCACAGACCAATCGGGGACAGAAGGTCGATGGTCTGGGCGCTGCCAACGCCTGTGGGAATGGTGACCCTGCGGCCTGACGTTTCGCCTCTGCTGTAAGAGTATCACTGGTTCTCACGTCACGAGAGACAGAGACAAGGAGTTTTTCCCTTTTAAATGCTAAGCAAGTGCCACGAATCCACAGATCTGAAAAAGTACAGATCGCTGGGTTGATAAACCAGATTCCAGGCTTTTTCTTGTCAGTCTGTTTATGAGATCACGAATATGATCTCCCTAAAGCCCCGGATTCCTGCTAGAGCCACTGGGGTCACTGATGACAAAGCAACCAACCCATCTCCTCCAGCTCACCAGGGCTTACCTTCCCAAGGCCGGCAATCATTGGGGTGTTCTCTGTCCTGTAAGAAACAAGGGATTCAGCAAGAATAAACAAATGTCTCAGGAAGGAATCCTGTCTCCACGAAAGTCATTGTGTTAAAACAAAAATAAACTCACGCTCCATCTTTCCTAAGCATGCGCCATGTGGCCATCTCAATGGCAGCTGCAGGCCCCAGAAACCTCCCCTGCCAAGTTTGCACTTGCCCTGGCCCAGTGAAGGTCAACAAGGCCCACTGTGGGTGATGTGCTGGGTGTTCACTGTGACAATTCTATCTGGATCCTTTTCCTACCCAAAGCAAGCACTCTCCTCCCGCAGGCCCCAAGGCACAGCTCTCTTTAGTCCCACTGCCAAACCAGGACAGTATGGAACAGGGGAGAACCTTTGTTCTCAACATTTCAGGCATCAGCCTCAAATGTTCCTTTGTTCTCAACCTTTGTTCTCAACATTTCAGGCATCAGCCTCAACATTTCAGGCATTTCAGGCAACAAGAGGGGTGTGTGTGTGTGCATGTGTGTGCGTGTGGGGGGGTGGGCTTAATTTTTTTTTTTGAGACAGGGTCTCACACTGTTTCCCAGGTTGGAGTGCAGCGGATTTCGACTCACTGCAACCTCCACCTCCCAGGTTCAAGTGATTCTCCTGCCTCAGCCTCCTGAGTATCTGGGATTACAGGCACAGGCCACCATGCCTGGCTAAGTAGAGACAGGGTTTCTTTTTTGTTGTTGTTATTATACTTTAAGTTCTAGGCTACATGTGCACAACGTGCAGGTTTGTTACATATGTATACATGTGCCATGTTGGTGTGCTGCACCCATTAACTCGTCATTTAAATTAGGTATATCTCCT